AAGCCAAGTTGTGGGTATACGGATGTTCATTATATTTGCTTTTACTCTTATCTACATGTTTGAATTATTTCTCAATAAATAATTTTTAATGCTCCATAGGTGACTCCAATGTAGAGCCAGTTTATGAAGAAAAAAAGATTCAACTTCAAATGCTAGTCTAGGGTTTCTTTTTTTGAACCTTAAAAAGCATCCAGGTTCCATGATTGACAGACTCGCCTCTACTTTCATTTCCCGCCCCCACAACATCTAGTTCGTCTTTGGAAATTAATTCACAATATAATGAAATCCACAATCTTTGCATGTAGCTTTGTTAACATCTGCCCTCTGGATTCCGAATTCATAGAAAACAGGATGGATTACAAATTCATAGAAAACAGGAAAAAAATCTTAATTTCCCATTCCTAGCTGACCATGTACCCTGGTTTTCCACCTGTTTATCCAGCATAATTATTAGTTCTCTGCTGGGCCAGTGGCTCACACCTGTAATCCCAGTGACTTGGGAGTCTAAAGTGGGAGGATTGTTTGAGGCCTGGAGTTTGAGACCAGCCTGAGCAACATATCAAGACTCCATCTCTACAAAAAATAAAATTACCCTGGTACTGTAGCATGTGCCTATAGTCCCAGCTACTCAGTAGGCTGAGGCAGGAAGATTGCACTCAAGCCCCAGAGTTCGAGGTTGTAGTGAGCTATGATGATGCCACTGAACTCTAGCTGGGGAAACAAAGGGAGACTCTGTCTCTATAAATCAATCAACCAATAAAATTAAATTTAATTCAAAAATAGTGTCCTCTTTCATACTCAAAAGCATCCCAGTTTAGATGACAAACTGATAAACTGCAGTTAACTCACCCACTGTAATACATTAAGACAGACATAAATGTTCATTTTCTTAGCCTCTCTACATATAACAGACTCAAAGTTCATATTAGTTTGTTTTTGACTTTATAAACCTTATACCCTTCATATTAATATGCACTTTTGAACTGCTTCAAAAGCTAAAGAATTTATTTGATTATCCCATTTGTATCACTTTATGAAGAGGAAATCCTGAAAAGACTTTTGTTTTATAAATAATGCTTAGAATTGAAGCTTTATATACTCGGCCTTATATACTATGCCAGAACATAGCAAGAATCTTGTACATTTACATACCACTCAAGAATATGAATCTAAAAATTTCAAGCATGAAGTGTACAATTTTCTTGACCTAGAACATATTATTTTATTAATGTAAATTCAATTGTGGGACTTTCACAAGAAAACATTTTTTCCTTATTTTTTGTTTCCACAATTCAAAATTATTTAAACCAGAGGTTTAAATAAAAGATAACACGTATATTACCTGCATTTAAATCATTTACTGGTACTTTCAAAGCAGCTGCAACTTTTTGTAAAATGTTCTGCATTTCTGGTCCAGTTTTGAAGGCTTCCACATGATAAAGAGCTGTAGCATTCCTTTCCACTTCAGCTAAAAACTTTTCACAGTGATCAAAGAATCTCATTAGTTTATCATTAATCTTTGGAGGGCCACACTCCATATCTGGAAAAAGAAAATTACATATATAAATCATTAACATAAATGACAATTTCGAATTATTGAAAATGTTTTAAGTGGGAAAATGAACACTAACATCCTATTATCTCTATGTGTGAAATAAGCATGTACTGATCAGGAAAGACATGAGTAAAATTTTGTAATGATTGTAATGCATGAGAGAATACGCTAGAAAAGACTAAAGAAACAAAGCACATCAAATATAACGTGTTAGAGTGATACTATACAACAAAGGTAATTGAAATGAATGTTTTCCTAAAGAAAACAAAAATTAGAACCAATAAGGAGACTTCTGGAGGAGTGTCATAAAAAGTACTCAACCATGTTACCTAACTACTGTTTCCATCAGGCACAGAAAACTTTGGAAAGCAAACTAAAAATAAGCAAAGCTTCCAATTACAGGGTGAGAGGGAATTCAATAGATTGAAATGTGTTTCCACTCTAAGCCAAAGTCTAAACAGAGTATTTTCTCAATTAACTTTCCCAACCCTGTGTGATTTTACAAAAGATCCTACTTGGGACAAAAACTACTGACAACAGCACAAAATGCATTAATGCTTCAGTTCTACCATGCTTCATTGTGTTAGGTGCTTCTGATTTGGTTTATTTTCTGATAACTTTCCCTTTAGAATAAGTTATATTATTTTTCCAATTTGGCAACAAATATGTATTGGAAAAGCATTCATACTGATGCTTCAACTACCGGAGTGCCTTTTTTTTCAGTCATATTCAAAATACACGTCTGAATCATCATTTCTCCAATAATTTACAATGAAAAGAACACCAAGTATATCATTTTTGTACCCAAGAGAAAACTGAATATAGTTACACTATTTTACTTTGGATATGTCTATGCAATTATCTATATCTCCTGAAATGTATAATTTTACCCACTTTAATTGCAAATTGGATTACAGTTCTTAGGAAAATATCTTGACTAGCAAAATAAGCCAACTTTGTCATCTTTTTCTGTGCCCTCAAAATATGATTTCCCAAGTGAATGTTGACATTTCATCCTTGTGACTACCTAATTACTGCTGCTGTTTTAAACAGAAACAAGGGCATTGTTCTGTTTACAAAATCTAAATCAGTAGATGCTCTCAAAAGACCGTATGTACATAATCAGCAAAACAATTGTCTACATATAAGGAAGAGGGTAGGAAAAGGGTTTAATCCGAGACTGAAAATGGTGAGAGGTGGGCTTATTCTGAACCGCAGTATTTGATCCCTGACTTTGTATTCTGAAACAAATGCCAATATTCACAAGGCCAATGAAGACCAAAATTCATTCCAGGAGGTCACTACATACATATAGATTATGCTATGTTAAAGTATGTTCTACTTTCAACATTCAGTTAAATTAATAGACTTATGGGGAATTTTCACCCATGTTAATTAAAAAAGTACAGCTATAATTAAAAAGCACAATTCAACAAGTAACTAAACACAAGTTAGCCAAGTGAGTTACTGACAATAACATGACCAAAGTCAGTGGAGAAATTACTTGCAGAGGGTTTAAATGTTCAACTGCTACAGGAGAAAGGACAAACCAGTCTACTTCTGTTTTTCACTTGGGCTTTGAAGCTAAATGATGTTCCACATTTCAGGTCTGACCTTAAGCGTGATCAAGAAGCTATTAACATCTGTTCATCTCTGTGGCACAAAAATATTTTTTTATTCTTAACAGTATGTTACTGGACAAATGGAAACTATATAGTATAATGGTTAAGAGAATAAGCTCTGAATCAGATTTCCTGGGTCCTTAACTACCTGTGTGAAATGGGCAAATCATTTAGTGTTTTAGTGTTGCAATTTCCTCATCTGTAGGTTAGGAGGAAAATACTAACAATTGAGACAGTGGTTGTAAGGATTTAGTAAAATAAATTTGAGGATTTAGTAAAACAAATGTTATGCCTGGCACATAACAGGCATTAAGTGTTTGCTATCATTATCTGTGACATTAAAACATTTTCTAAAGGAAAATCCAGAAGACCTGGATTCTGGGCCTGACTCTAGTTCTCAAACTAGAGAAAGACAATTAAGGAGACATACTCTTGGGCTCAGCTTCTTCACCTGTGAAATAAAAGGGCCTCACTAGATGATCTCTCAAATTTTGAAAAAGTATAATGGAATAAATGAGTAAAGTATTATATGTGACCATGAACCACAGCTATAATGACGGGAACGCTATAGTAAATTACAAGAACAAAACAAGAAAAAAAGCAGGGCATTCAGAAGACTTGAGAGCAGCTTTCTAAAACAGGGTGTAGGTCCAGAACCATCTCCTGAAAAGGTTGGTAAATTAAAAAAAAAAAAAAAAAAAAAACTCAACTAGTACCAGAAGCAAAGCCTGAGGAAGAAAGTTCTAGATTCCATTTTTTAAAAAGTGCGCCCAACTGTAAAGCTAGCTGCCAGGGAAGGGGGAAGGGATGGGTTGGCGCTCAAAGGCAGCAATTCAATCTGGAAATGGTAGATCAAAAAGTGCGGGAGAGACCTCGTCTGTCTTCTTTCCTGTTGGACCCCCAATGTGTACTACAGCATGCAGTATGTAGAAGGTGCTAGATTTATACCCGATGAATGAATAAATGAACATATGTATGTGGGAAGAGAAAGAGCCAGGTCCGGAAGATCGCGTGCCCAGGCAGGACGCAGCCTGAGGGATGAAGGATTAGGAACACAGAAAAGTGAGAGAGAAGCTTGGGTGGGGAAAATCCAGGGTCTGGGAGAGCCGGGGGAGGACTTAGGGAAGGGAAGAGAACCGAGGCAGGGCACTGGCCAGGCGGCCTGGACCGTCACCTTCGACGTCGGGGGGCGGCAACCCAGGGTGGTAGTGCTGCCACAGCCCCTGCAGGAAGGCAGCGCCGCTATCCACGCAGCGGTGCTTGGAGCTAGTGATGAGCTGCAGGCGGCCATAGTTCTCCCTGCTGAAGAGGGTTGGGAAGAGCGAGGCCAGACGCAACGCCAGCTGTCGCATATCCTGCCGTCCCTTCTCCACTAGCTGCCCGTCCATCCAGTCCGCGTACCACAAAGGCCAGTCGGCCAGCGCAGCACCCAGGTCCCGGCTGCCGGCACTACCGACCCCGTCATCCCCGGGCCCGCGAGCCTGCAGCAGCCCGTGCAACTGCCTCAGCTTTCGGATCTGTTTGGCCGTAGGGTAGCGGGTGCCGTGGCGAATGAGGGCGACCAGCTGCACCGGGGTGCAGGCCCCCTCCAGCAGCTCCGGGTCTCGCCACGGCGCCTCGGGACCCGACAGCAGCCCGGGGTTGACATCCTCATAGCGAGTCTTGGTGCCGAAGTAGGGGCTAAGCACCGTGGCCACTGGGTCCCTCGGCTCTAGGAGAGAGCAGCGCACAAGCGACGAGAGCAGCGCCGCAGCCAGGGCCGCGCCGGGTGGTACGGAGGCCCAGAGGAGGCGGCAAGGTCCGCAGAGCATGGTGGGCTTCGGCCCGCGGAGGGCGACGCGCCAGCTGCTGACGCCCCACTTCCGGCTCCAGGGTCAGTGGGCGGGCCCGGAGAGCGCTTCCGGCCGAAGGGGTTGGGTGGGCCACGCCTGGTCTGCGCAGAGGGTGAAGTCAGGGCGGCTGGCTAAGGCTCCTGAGTGCTGACAGAAAGCTTCGAGGATCCCTGTGGACCTGTGGCTCAAGTGGAGCCGGCGGAAAACCCTGAGGAGCTTGGGACAGCCACGGCGTAGGTGGAGCCGGCGTCGCTGACTCGGAGCGTGGGCGAGTTTCCTCTTAGCCGGTGCCTCAGGGATTGACGCCAAGACTCCCCCGCTTTTTTCAGTTGTCTTGGGTGTGAATGAATCCCAGGCTAAACCTTAGCCTCCCAGCCTGCCCAAACAGAACTTGTTTTAACACATGACTCTCGTATCACCACCTTTACTCCGTTCTACTGTGTTTGTCAAAGTGTAGTCTCTGAACATCTGCTTAAAATCCACCTGAGACGGTGGTTGAAAATCCAAATCGCAGGGCCTTAGTGCAAGACGCCTCTTGAAGCACTAGGTTATTTTTTTTCTTTTAGAGTTAGAAAATAAGCAGTGTACAACAAAGAAAGGAACCTGAAAAGGAGCTTAGCTCTGCAGGAATTTAAATTCTGAGTCTTTGCTACAATCTTGATCTGTACTGCCAGAACTAACACGGACATCAGTGAGACAGCACCCTAAATGTTCTGTTTGTTGATCCCGAAGACTTAGAGAGTAGAGAAATAGCAATCTTGATAGCTTGGGAGCATTGGGTCCAACAGATTTACTCCTTTATTAAGCACGAACTAATCTGTTTTGGAAGCAAACATGCTATTTATCAACACTGCAGGTCAGTATTCTCTCATGTACTTACATACTCAGATCAGCTGCTGGGTTTTTTGTAGGTGTTAACTGAAATGGGAAATGCATGACTGAGACAAAAACAACAATGGAAGTTTATTAAGCTAGAAAAACTAATCATTTATCTATTTCCTTAAAGGGGGGAGGCATGTAGGAAGGGGACAGGTAGGTGGTAATACAAATGGTTACATTTTTCTGAGAGACTTCAGTTAATGCCCAGTGTATCTGCATTTTACATAAGATAAGGTGATTTTAGTAAAGGAAGAGTCAGTTATGTCTCTGGGATCTCATCTTACCTTTGTTCTGCACCTAGGAAGATAGTGTTATCAATGTGGAATTGAACAAGCTTTAGTTTTAGGAGCAGACTTAGGTTACAATTAGCATATCCTTCTTTGTGGGAGAATGTACATACAGCTTGAAAGGTTTGGAGGACGGCAAAGAATTTACTTATGAATGATTTGTGAGGGCAGTCATCCAGAGATGCCTGAAGCCTTTTGCTTTTGGGGTTTGGTTTTGACACAAAGTTGTGAAGTAGTAGCTATTCATTTTGAAGAGGATGTTGTATGACCCAGCCTCCAGGCTTAACTTTCCATTTGGCCTAAGGAGTTTGGGGTCCTGAGATTTTTTATTTTCCTTTACATAGGTTATCTCTCAGAATCTTTGCCTGACCCTAAAAATCATCAATCTAAATAATACCCTGGTTTTTTCACTTGAATTTCAGTTTATATGCCAGTTGGGAAAAGTATTACAGAAATCATATGGTGATCCAAATTCAGAAATTTGGATTGTTTTCTAACTGTATATTTCCCTTCAAAGACATTATTGCTTTGCCCTTGTTAAGTCCATCACCATCTTTACTCCTTTTCTCTTTAGTTAAGTGCCTATCTGGTTCAGAGAGGCATGCCTCTAATGTTAACCAAGAAGAAAAGGATGTAAAATCAAGAATAGATTCCAACCCAAACTTTGAAAAATTTGAGATGTTCTGTGCAGGAAATGTAGCAGCAGGAGCTGTGAGCTGGCTGTTTCCTTAATGCTGAATGGGTGTGGACGAAGGAAAGCGGGAGTCTGACGGAAAGCCGTCTGGTCAGCAGCCCGAGAAGTTGAAGTAAAGAGCCATGTCTTGGGGACTGCCGTCAGGTACGATGCCTGAGAACGTTCTTTGAACAGAGCAATCTCAAAATATAGCGATTGGGGAGTAAATGGCCATCTCTTTCCTGCCCTTGAGTTCCTTCGTTCCCTCTTGAGTTATACTAATAAAAGCAATGTGTGCACCGAGGACGGGGCTCTTTGCTCTTAGAAGCATCAAGTCTCCCGTGCCCACTTATCCTCATAATTGGCTACTTTGTCTTCATTTCTGCTGAACCACTTGGTTTGGGATTGCCTGTGCTTAGCTGGACTCAGCAGGAAACCATCTTCAGGGCAATAGATATTCTTTTTGATAAGCCTTTTGTAGAATGTCAATGTCAAAATATCCATGGCCAGAGATTTTTTTTTTTTTGCTAAATTTTGCTCAAATTAGTATTTAGTGAATATCCTCCCCCCCTTTTAAAACTCTGATCCTTTGACAGATTACACCCCTTTAATAGACTTGTGTCAGGTGCATCTCACTATATTTTGCTTAATATATGTGCTTAATAATCATCATCTCTCATGCCCAATCTTTTGAGTCCTCAAGAGTATCAAGTCTTCCCAAAGGCATCATTTACTTCTTCTTAATGAAGCAATCTTTAGAGACCCTACTCTACTTACAAAACCCATGGCACACATTTTATACACTAAATTTGCCCCAGCTTGGTTTTATTTCCTTTCCCCAATTTCTCATCTGTTAATTTTATGCTGTTTTATATGCTTACATTAATCAACTGCAATTCTTTTGATGTCATCCCAAGATGACAATAATAAAAATTAAAGTAAGCAATGCCTTCATGTTTTTGACTAGGAAAAAGCCAGATACAAAGAGGATAAAGAGTACATAAACTTTGTATCCAGTTTCTAAGCTCTGCTGCTCATTAATGAAGTAACCTTGGGAAGTTACCCAAGTTCTCTGAGCCTTAGTTTCCTTACCTGAGAATTAATAATATTAAAATCTCCATTGTGGGATTATCATGACAATCAGACATGATATATTTAAAATTCATATAATAGGCTGCTATAAATGGTATTTTTATCACTAATAATGTTCAATGTTATTATTATACCTGCACTGAGATGCTTATCTTTCTGGCAGTTATATGGATTACACTTATTTCCATTGAACATGAAAGTGAATGCCTTTCACAGGCAAGACATGCATCAAAGATCATTTTATAACTTTCCTAATGATAAAAGTCCACTCATCTCACTTAAAACGGGTATCCCATTCTTAGAGCAGTGGGCAGCCTTTGAAAAGTTTTGAGAAAGCCCTGCTCATGTTTTCATGTCAGACCATGTCTTAATTCTCTGGCAGCATGTAAATTGGCTGACCTTTGAGATGCTACAATATTAAGAACATGGTCTCTAAAGTTTAGACTTTCTGATTTTCAAATTCCAGTTTTATCACTTATTATCTGTGAGATCTTGAGTAAGTTAAACTCTTTTGCCAATTGGGTAATACAGAGGAGGTTGCATGATACAAAATATGGCTGCCCCTTTGCAGAGATCATGGGTGATTCACCTTCCCTCATAAGAAATTGTGGGCATGTGAGCAATTATTTGGCAAATCTACCACAACATAAGAGGAAAGAAAATTAATTGTTCAGTTTCCTTGAAGAGATGGGAGAAGATAGAACAAAGAACACAGATAGAGAATTTGGTTTGGACTAGAAGGAAAGGAAACGTTACCTTCTGAGGAAATATTGGAAGGATGGGTGAACATGTGGATAAAATTGTAGGCCTGGCAATAGGGAGTTCATGGAATTCAAGCCTGATGGCTTCAGTTTCCTCAGTGACATAGGAGACAATATTGTCTGAAGAGATGAGGGAATGGGAATTAAGTCCTGGAATGTGGAAATGGTTTGGATTCGTGACTGAGAGAAATGGGACGGTAATGGGAAAGGATGTACAACTAAAAGTAATGGGGGGGGGAGTAAAAGTATGTATGCTCAGCTCTGAGGATCCAAATGAGAATGAAAGACTTGAGTTGTTAGAGGCTGTGCAATTTTATCCAAAAGTGAACATTATCTGTTGTGTTTTTCAGAGTAGAAAAGAAACAGGTTTAACTTGATTGTTCTGCATTATTCTAATATGTCTTAAGTAGAACCTTCTAATCAATCCACTATACTAAGGAATAAGCTAGAAGCTAAAAGGAGTTTGAGGCTGCAGTGAGCTATGATAGTGCTCCTGCTCTCTAGCCTTGGCAACAGAGCAAAACTCCATCTCTAAAAAAAAAAAAAGAAGAAGGAGAGATGCATAATAGGCTACGCTAGATTATTGTCAGATTATTCATAGGACTTCAAAAATAGTCATTCTACTCTTAAGACTGCATAGTGTCATGTATAGTATTTTAAGTCATAGCCATCTACTGGTAACTTAAAATACTATATATGTATATAATACATAATATATGTATTATATAATATTAAAGTATAGCCATCTGTATACTTTTAATGGCATTTTCTTTTAATTAAAGAAGATGGTTTTCTGGTAAAGAAACAATGAAGAAAGGGAGAAGGCTAAATTCTGTGGGAAAAACACCAGGTTATCTATGTAAGCATATACAATATTGATTAAGAACATGGTCTCTCAAGTTTAGACTTTCTCGTTTTCAAGTTCCAGTTTTATTATTATCTGTGAGATCTTGAGTAAGTTAAACTCTTACCTCAATTTTTTTTTTTTTTTTTTTTTTTTTTTTGAGACAGAGTCTCACTTTGTTGCCCAGGCTAGAGTGAGTGCCGTGGCGTCAGCCTGGCTCACAGCAACCTCAATCTCCGGGGCTCAGCGATCCTACTGCCTCAGCCTCCCGAGTAGCTGGGACTACAGGCATGCGCCACCATGCCCGGCTAATTTTTTGTATATATATTTTTAGTTGGTCAATTAATTTATTTCTATTTTTGGTAGAGACGGGGTCTCGCTCAGGCTGGTTTCGAACTCCTGACCTTGAGCAATCCGCCCGCCTCGGCCTCCCAAAGTGCTAGGATTACAGGCGTGAGCCACCACGCCCGGCTTACCTCAATTTTTTTTCATCTGTAAAGTGGGGGTAATAGTATCTAGCCATGAGATTGTTGAGAGGATTAAACAGTTTATATAAAGCCTTTATGTAGTTCTGGGCCCCAAATAAATATTAGTTACTTTTATTAAGCAGAATCAAAATGTTCTGTATTATTGCTTTTTCCTTAAACTGACAAATGGTCAGTTTTTCACAGATTTTTATTATCTCACAACTACATTAAGCAACTAACTTTGTGCCTGTGCCAAGAAAGTTTTAGCTCTACTATCTTTCTGCCTTGCTGTTGCATCATTCCTCTTTTAACAGTTGCCAATTGGTGCTTATTTGCTTTTTGTTGCAGTAGAAGAATCCAACGGAAGGGGGATGTGTACGGAAGCCCCATGTGTATGGATGGGGCTGGAGTGATTCAGGCCTCAACAGCAGTCCTTTCAACCTCACTGGAATGTGGAGGCTGTATAGATCAAAAGCTCTAAAGATTACAAGATAACTTTGCTAAAAGGAGCCATACCATCTCTGATAGCTGACCACTAGGTTGTTCTCCAGCGTATCAAAGCTACATTACATTGCTTGAAGTTGTGCTTCAATTAATGTAAAAAACTTCATGAACCACATATAGTCACTGAAGTAACCTGCTGTCTTCATTCTCTATCATCCTCTGCCAAAGTAGTTATTTTGCAGTGACAGAACTTCTCTGCTGCCCTGAACTTCTCTGCTGTCCTTTGAACTTTGATGTTAGTAATTCTTTCTTCCCATCAAATGTTGGCTCTAAATCCACAGAACTATTTGAGAAACCAGATACAAAATTATGGTGGGTTTAAATTACCAAAATTCTTTATATGTTTTGCTATTCCTATTTATTAGAGGAAAACCATAGACATATACTTTCTAGTCCTGTTCTATAGTGAATTACCTGCACAAATCAGCATTGTTGCTCAGAAACATAATTTTTTCCAGAAGTCTTCTCCATCCAAAATATATTGTTATCTCATCACAAACATAAATAATAGGTTTCCAAATGCTAGTAAAAAATCTCTCTTCTTCCCTATATTTTTTAAGAACAGCCATAGATAATAGCAGCTGTGGTTTAGTATCTTATTTTGTTCTAAAATGTTAGTTTTCCAAAATTGGAAAATCTCTTTGAGCCATTGGATCTGTAGGACGATTGATCGGCTAAATTTAAAGCAATTAATGTTTCTTTTTCATCCCAATGAATAGAGGACTTTCCAAACAAAAGTTCTTTATGCTTTATCAAAAAGGCTGTTTTTTACTGTGTAGTCCCTTAATGTGAATTTCTTGTTGCCTCAATGGCCCATGCATGAACCAATCCTCGTTTAGGTTTTGTTCAATTTTATTGTAACATGAACCCAATTTTGGGGGGTTTAGTTGCGTTGTCTATATTATATATTAGTAAGTATTAAAACCCAAATAATATCTAAGCCAGAAAAGCAACATAGATACCTGTGGATTCACATACTTGGTTGCAGCACCATTAGTAAACAAGAAAGTTCATACTCCAATTAAAGCAACCATTATGGCTCCACAAATAACATCCTTTATTATCCCACCTCACCTTTCCTGTCTTTCTTCCTACACTGCCTGATTCTGTATTGTAAGAGATAAGGCAGGTGCTGGTAAATGATTCATTAGTTAATGTCTTAGATGCAAGGGCCATGGTGAAAATATTTATCCCATATGTTATGTTAAGTAGACTGTCAGCAACTATTTGTTGAGAGAGTATATGAATGAATGAACAAATGAAAATAGAACAAATAGGCAGTGTGGGAGGTTAAAATGTGGACGTAATATTGTTTTGCATTTGTGTGGTATAATTATCTCATATCTTCCCAACTATTCCACAACCTGTGCAGACTAATATTTATATCATGTTGTGTATGTGGCAATCAAGACAAAGAGAGGCTAGGTGCTTACCTAAAGTCAGCCAACAAGTATTTACTATTATAGATCTACTTCTAGAATGGGAATGATGGAAACAGAGTTATTTCCATGTTTCTTTTCCTGGTATCTACCCTATTCTTTTTTTTTTTTTTTTTTTTTTTTTAAGAAACTCCTGGAATTGATATCTACCCTATTCTTGATAAATGAACAATGACTTCAAAAGGTGTCCTCTCAGTTGGGGTTAAAATGACAAATTTACTACAGTACATAATACTGTAGCACTTACTGTTGATTAACCACCCAATAATTATTCTTTTGGGGGAGGAATCTTTGGAATGGGTAGGTATTCACCTCCCAGAAAGCTCACTTTATTTTATCCTCAGGAGAAAATCTGAATTTGGTCTAAACCAATCTTCGTAATGTTTTCTTACCAGTTTTGGTTTAGGGAAGAGTATGTAACTCATTTCTAGCCAATGAGATATGGGGAGCAGTCTACTGGGGGGTTTCTGGGAAAGATTTTTTTTGTCCTAAGAAAGAAATAATGCAGCAATAAACTGTCAACACTTTATAGGGTCAATGGATTACAGATCCTATTGATTAAAAGGAGTATTGAATTTGACATAGTAAAATAGTGTGGAAGGAAAAGAAGTGGTATTCAGTGAATAAAATTCACTCAATCAAAATTGATATTTTGAAAGTGGTGTAGTAGTTGTTATTGATTGAAGTGAAACAGTTTAGAATATGAGATTAAGAAAGTTTATCCCTGGCAAGTTATATAATACAAATCATTTAAAGGTAAGGAAATCCTGGTTCCAAACTTCTGCTCCTGTTGGACTTAAGCCTCAGTAGCTTCTCACCTTCCATTAGTATATGTATCCCTCTTCCCCAACCCCTAAAAGGCCCCTGCTTACTCAGCAACTTTTCAATCAATTTTATTAAAATAAATTATTTTACACAGATGTCTTGTTTTTAATAGATGTTATTAGTGGTTTGGAAAGATGAAAGAGATTGACATCACAGAGATGCCAATAATTTTAAATGTAATTTTTAAAAAACTTTGTTCTTAAAATTATAGAGAGATACATACAAGGAAGGGACAACTGCCCTGGATGTTGACATGTCCAAATATAATGACTAAACCGGCTGCAGCCATCTTGCAACCAGGGAGGAGCCAGCTTGAAAACAAAACCAGAACAATGAGATGACACAGCAAGAAGTGGAAAGAACCTGGGTCCTTGATGATGCTATTGAGCTGATGGATTAAACCTGGAGTGTATCTACTATGGGCTTCCTGTAAGGAATTGAAATGTCTTTGCTGTTTGAACCAGTGTTTCATTGTTTTCTATTGGAATCCTCCTAATTGGTATAAAGTAACTATTAACTCCGCCACAACGCCCCCACCCTTTAGGATGTCCTCCTTTTCTTGATTTTGCTGAAGTCACTTACTGAAAATAATAGAAAATCACAATGGTGATTTTCTGAGTCTATCTCCTTAGCTATGATGTTGGGTCTCCAACTCATGAATATGGTTTATGAAGCATGGGAAGAACTAAGAGTAGGAGGTAGATGGGTAGGACGAGATGTCTGGTGATGGAGATGGTCTGGGTCAGGGCAGTTGAGTAGGAAGGGTGAAGTGTGAAAGCTAAGCAGGAGATGCAAATGAAAATCAGAGAGAAAGTCCCTCTTCAGAACAGGTCCTTAGAAAGCCAGTCTTAGGAACATAAGGGCCATACCTTTGGGAAGAATTGTAGAACCCACATTATAGTAATAGCATCACTGAAATCCATGTTCTTCTCTTAAGGGGAGAAATCAGTGTTCATAAGATATGAAGGATATGACAATGCTACTCAAAGTGATATGTAGAATCAAATTATGTTATTAAAATCCAATAACACTTTTTGCAGAAATGGAAAAACTCATCCTCAAATTCATATGGAATTTGAGGGGCTCAGAATAGCCAAAACAATCTGAAAAAGAATAAAGTTGTAGGACTCACATTTTCTGATACCAGAACTTACTACATAGCTAGAGTAATCAAAAAACAGCCTGGATCTGGCACAAAGGTAGACGTATAGACCAATGGAATAGAATTGAGAGCCCAGAACTAACACATCTATGTTAAATTAATTTTTGACAAAGGTGCCAAGACCAATCAAAGAGGGAAAGGACAGTATCTTCAACAAATGGTATTGAGAAAACTAGATAGCCACATGCAGAAGAATGAAGTTGGACCTTTACCTTACACCATATACAAAAATTAACTGAATTTGTATTAAAGACCTAAATTTAAAAGCTATAAAACACTTAAAAAAATAAATGCTATAAAATTCTTAAGGTAAAACATAGGGAAAAATCTTCATGATCTTGGATTTGACAATGGTTTCTTAAACATTACATCAAAAGTACAAGAGACAAAGGTAACAATAGATACATTGGACTTTATCTAAATTAAAAACTATTGTGGGTTGAGCATGGTAGCTCACGCCTGTAATCCTAGCACTCTGGGAGGCCAAGGCGGGCAGATCATTTGAGCTCAGGAGTTTGAGACCAGCCTGAGCAAGAGCAAGGCCCTGTCTCTACTAAAAATAGAAAGAAATTAGCTGAACAACTGAAAATATACAGAAAAAATTAGCTGGGCATGGTGGCGCACACCTGTAGTCCCAGCTACTCGGGAGGCTGAGGCAAAAGGATTGCTTGAGCCCAGGAGTTTGAGGTTGCTGTGAGCTAGGCTGATGCCACAGCAGTCTAGCGCGGGCAACAAAGTGAGACTCTGTCTCAAAAAAATAAAAAATAAAAATGTAGTATATGCAAAAGAATGAATAGTTCCATTTTACCCCTAGCTAGCTGTGCAACTCTGAAAAGCCATGCTCTGGGCCTGTTCCTTTCGTGTGTCACTCAGGGGTGTGGCCTTCACTGTCAAAGTCAAAACAATGCTGGGCGTCAGAGAAGTGAGATGTACAAGCCAGAATAGAGTCATCATTCTGGTATATGCAACAATGGAGTATCATTCAGCAACAAAAAGGAATGGAATACTGATACATGCTACAACATGGATGACCCTTGAAATGCTTATGCTACATGACAGAAGCCAGTCAGAACAGAACACACATAATTCCATTTATATGAAATCATTTATATGAAATGTCCAGAATAGGCAAATCTGTAAAGTGAGAAAGTAGATTAGTGTTTGCCTGCATCTGAGGGGATGAGTGGATTGGGCATGAAAGCTGAAGGTTACAGGGTTTCTTTTGGGTGAATATATAAAAACCATTGAATTGTATTCTTTAAATGGGTAAATTGTATGGTATGTGAATAATATCTCAAAGACATGCAAAAAAAAAAAAAAAAAAAGGAGAGGAGAGAGAGAAGAGATGTGAGAGATGTAGCTTCCTTGGTGTCTGGCAAATCTGGGCACTTCCACACACTAGCCTCCATTTTCTTCTAAGCTGTAAAACAGGGATCATAACAGTATGAACACTCATAACATTAGTGTGAGCTTCAAATGACATGCATGTGAGCACTTATACTGGTTAGCAACAAGTAAGTTTCAAAGAACTTAGCTGCTATACTATTATTACTGTTGTCTTAGTCCATTTTGCACTATACAACAAATACCTGAGACTAGGTAATTTAGAAGAAGAAAATTTATTTCTCATAGTTAGTGGATGCTGGAGTTCCAGATCGTGCATGGCATTTAGGTCTAGCGAAGCTGCATCTCCAGAGGGGAGGAACACCGTGTCCTCAATGGTGGAAGGTGGAAGGGCAATATAGGATCAGCTCCCTCCATCAAGCCTCCCTCCACTAATCCCGTTCACACGGAGGGCCCTCATGGCCGAATCACCTCTTAAAGCCCGACTCTTGACGGCGCGGTGGCTCAGCCTGTAATCCTAGCTCTCTGGGAGGCCGAGCGGGCGGATTGCTCAAGGTCGGGAGTCGAAACAGCCTGAGCAGAGTGAGACCCGTCTCTACTATAAATAGAAAGAAACTAATTGGCCAACTAATATATAGAGAAAAAATTAGCCGGGCATGGTGGCTCATGCCTGTAGTCCCAGCTACTTGGGAGCTGAACAGAAGGATCGCTTGAGCCCAGGAGTTTGAGGTTGCTGTGAGCTAGGCTGACGCCACGGCACTCACTCTAGCCTAGGCAACAAAGCGAGACTCTGTCTCAAAAAAAAAAAAAAAAAAAAGCCGACCTCTTAATAGTATCAATTGGCAACACCTGAACTTTGGAGGGAACACATTCAAGCCATAGCGTAAGATTATTCCTCCCCTTCGAACTGCTTACAACATCATTTAGAACACCTGCCGCAAGTAGATTATTACTTCCAAATATATCAAATAAAAATAGCATAGTAGTGAAAGTAAGATAGCAACACTAAGCCAATTCCAAATGGACAACCTGATGCTTTGCAAGATTACTCTGTACTTAATGTGATCCTTTCCTTAAAAAAAAATGAATGGATATTATCTCTAAATTCTCAGCACATGAAATCAACTAAAGAAATGAAGTTAAATGAGTAATTTTGAAAGAAA